TTTACCTTAACCGACAGAATAATCAGAATTCATCGTTGCAACACCAAAAAGATTGTTAAAAAAAGTAAAATTGTACATTTTTTATATTTAGGACCAGGATTTTGCCTTATAAGATGCCAACCTATTGTGGCCATGTGTTAGAATTCGATGAGAAAAAGGCAACTGGGGCAGTCGACCACAAAGCGTTCCAAATCTGATCGTGTGAAATTAATTGAAAACGTCGATTTTGTTCTCCTGGAACCTTTTCTTCGCCAAACGACAAAAGCAAATTGTGTCAGAATTTTCTAATTTATGGTGAAAATAGCGACGAGAAAGCTTTATCTTTGATATATTTTTATTTAAGATTTCTCACGCATTTGTGTTTTTTTTAAAAGAGTAATTAAACGATTTTATCCTCTCATCTCTCCCATGTTCGTGGTTTAGGAGGTGGTGGAATTTTAGAAAGTGAACCTCAAAGAAACCAAAACCGCCTGAAATTGATAAAAAGCCAATTGCCGAATAGAGACGTATCTGGTTTCGGCTCCTGCTCTCGTGTTCCGGTAGTGTTGCCTTGTTAGGAGGGCAAGGACCAATTCCTTCTAAGGAAGGACAAGTTTATGTTCTCTGCTAATGGCCCATACCTGGAGTCGAGAAACACCGGACGTTTTAATACGACCTTCGTGATTTTTCCACCTCTTCCGTTCCTTCTGAAAACCGGATTTAGCGTCCCTTCCGATCTTTTTAATTTTTAAATTCAGGTACGGAAACTGGCTGTCGGAAGAGTTCACACTGGCAGGCATCGGCATGAACTGCTTGAAAGGCTTAACATTCTCGGACTCGAACGGCGTTTTTGGCTTAGCCGAAGCTCACGGCTTATTTTTCCCGTCTCAAGAGAAGTTAAGAAGAACAAAGAAACACCTGTTTTTTAAAAATTTTATTATACTTGTGACTGCATTGTTCCACATCATTCTTGCAGAAGTGGCCTACCTATCCCTTTAAAAAAACACCACACATATTATAAAAAATGTATTTTAAATACATTAAAATTTATATATTTACAAAATTTATTACCCTTGAAGGTCATCAAGATCCTCAGGCAGGTCTCCATCCTTCAAGGTCCACAAGAATATTCTTTTGAAAACAACAGGGTAATTTGGAATAGTGCTAGTTTAGACCTTTAACCTCCGTGTTTTTGTCAGGGTTTCTTCTTTCTACATTTGGCAACTTCCTGCCACATGGATTTGTAAAACTGCGCCGAACCGAACTTCACAACATGTCTGCCTAAGTAAGGCCTCTTTCAGACGAGGCGGTTTGGTTGATTCAACTAAGTTGCCAGGTTGACTCTCAACTAGTTTACTCTCGTGTGAAGACGTTTCTTTGTTGGTTTCACACCAGGCAACTTGTGGAATCAACCTCCCTTCCCAAGAGGAGGTCATTATGATGTTAGAACCCGAGAAAGCAAGAGCACTTCATGTGCTTGCTCTTCTACAAAAACGAGAAGCAAAAAAAGGAGGAAACCCAGTAAAGAAAAGTGTGGGTCTATCCGTTGTTATAAAATTGGGAAATGGGCGCTTTGCCATGCCACTTCCCTCCAAGCTTTGCTACTTTTAATTTTATCACTGTACTCCTACTATCACTATACTACTTATCACTATCTCATGTCCCATTTCACAGGACTAATACAAATATCTTCAATGAACTGCTCTGTGCTGCATTAGGCCTCTTTCAGATGAGGCGACTAGTTGATTCAACCAGTTGAACGGACGGGTGTCAAGGAATGTAATGTGGTAGCAAAATGTTTGGGAATCGTTCCAACTCCTTCACATGCAGTCAACTCATCTGCCAAGGTGGGTGGTGCCGTTCACATTCCCATCCCCACTAGTTGACTCAACTCAAAAGACACTGCTCGGCATTCGTACTTCACACCAGTCGCCCAGTTGAGTCAACTGAGTTCACCATGGAAAGCGTTGCAATTGCAAGTTTCAATGTGGATCAGTTCATTAAGATATTCGTATTAGTCCCTTGATATGGGACATGAGGTGTGAGGAGCACAGTAATAAAATTAAAGAAGCGAAGCTTGGAAGGAAGTAGCACAACAGTACTTGAGAGAAAGCACCCATTTCCCAATTTTATAACAATGGATAAACCCACACTTTTCTTATTGGGTTTCCTCTTTTTTTGCTTCTCTTTATGCAGGAGAGCAAGCACAAGAAGTGCTCTAGCTTCCTTGGGTTCTAACATGTACTGATCTCTCATTGGTCAGAAGAGTTAATTCCATAAGCTGCCTGGTGTGACACCGAGTCTTTACACGGCTGTAAACTAGTTGAGAGTCAACTAGGCAACTTAGTTGGATCAACCAAATCTGAAAGAGGCCTAACAAGTCAAAAGTTTTCTGAAAAAGGCAAACACTTCTACCTTGGCAGTATTGTGATTTTGAAGAAATTATACTCTATTTGTTCAGCTGCAACCGTCTTGTAGTTATTAGGTTAATTTTTATTAACTGTTGAATAAGTGATGATAAATCATTTTACATCTGCAATGATATTAGGCTATAAGGTTGCTATACATCTGCAATATTCCTACAGATTAGTGGTATTGAATGGCTGATTTTTTCTGCACTGTTGTTTTGAAACTGCAGCCTCGAGCCATGGAGGTGAAACAATTTCTTTCGTCTGCTGCTGGTTATCAAGTTTACAAGAGTCGGCTGATTGGAAGTGCTGCAGTTGTGCATCAAGGGTCTTTTCTTCTGCTTTTCCCTTTGGAAAGTATGTTTTTCAAGCTGCCCCAACCATTTTTGGCGAATTGGAATGCTGATCCATCTCTGCAGAAAGCCTGGCCCAAACCAGGGCCTTTTACAGCATTTTATTGGATGATTGGCAATATATCAAGACATTTCATTGAATGTAATAATAATCCTTGCAGGCTCTACAAAATGGAGTGATATATCACCAGTAGAAATTTTTTTTAGTTCCGACACACCAAAACTGCGACAATTTGCATAGGTAAATAAGTAAACCGTCAATTTCCTTGGGCAGTCTGTTGGCTCTATAGTTAATTTGAATCTTAATATAATGCATTAAAGCAAATACGACTCTTCTGCCTAGACTTCTCAGAACTGGACCAAATCCAGAATTAATGGGCAATTTCTTTTACACTAATGTCGCAAAATTTGACATTTGTAAAAAAAAGTCAATCGATAAATACATTATAAATTATAATAAAATAAGCTTTCTTAATTATAAAAAAGAAGTTCCTATGCCAAAAAAGGCTATTTATCAAAACAATGAAAACAGTAGATACGGCATTTTTAATTAACAGGGCAATATGAGATTGCAATCATATCGCATACCCACAAGAAAACTGACACAATTCGAGAAATTCTAAAAACCGTATTATTTAGTTTTTTGAAGTATTCGGGTATGTTACAGGAAAAAGGACACATCTGTAGATGGACTTTTAGCTGCTAAGCAGCACCACATGTCACTTTTGAATTGACAAAAATGCACTGTCTCCACTAACAAAAACTGGCATATCTTAGTTCTATCGAGCTTTATAGCATCGCGAATTATTGACTGCAGAAAATCTGGCGATAAGTGTCAAAAATTTCAGGACGTGTTTTTACTCACCATATGCAACAAAAAATTTCCTATAATCAACACTTGTCCAAATCTCATTAGTAAAGAAGTATTTTCATTTTTTTTTGTCAACTTAGGTCTTCTAAATTATTGCTTATAATTACTGTTTCAAAATTACTGACTGCAGAAAATCTGGCGATAAATGTCAAAAATTTCAGGACATGTTTCTACTCACCATATGCAACAAAAAACTTCCTATAAACCCCTTTCCAAGTATAATTTAATCTAAATTTAAGTTTTTTTTTTTTTTTGGACTCAGGTCCAATAAATTGCTTACAAACTTCAGAATTACTGATTGTAGAAAAATCTGGTTTGTGCCGCCTGAAAGAATGTTAAATTTTGCTCTAAGGAAACTTATTTATATTGCAGAATTGTTGTCAAAATTCTGCACGAAAAATTAAAAAAAACAAAAATGTTGAAATTTGAAATTTTTTTGAAAATGTTGAATTGGTAACTGTTAATAACTACACACTCAAGGAGCTTTCCAAATTCCCTCAAAATGTCCCCATTCAATTAGCTTCCAGCAGTATACCCACCTTTTTGGATGGCACTTCTGGAATGTTTACATCAGAGTCGAATAAGGATTAAAATGGAAACTTTAATATCCCTAATTAATTAATACACAAAGACTTTTGTAACGGCCTAGTAGTATTTGCTCTAATGCTTCATATTTTGCATTTAGAAGAGTCTAAGCAACTTTAAAACAACTGTGTTAAGGAAATGTCCAATTTTACTTTAGTTTACTTCTACAAGTGGTCCCACTTTTGATGTATCGGTACAAAAAACCAAGAGTTTTTGATAAACCTAATGCCAGTGAGTTTCTAAAAGCTCTAAATACCTCGCATTATCTACTGGAGGAATTTTCTTTTCCACCGACACTTCAGAGCTGAACCAAATTCAGAAATAATAGCACATTTTTTTCTAAATTAACTCTACAAAACTGGATATTTTTTGTCATTATTTAAATTGTCAATTTTATTATTGTCGAGTAACAGAATGCAGAAAGTACTATGGTATTGCATCAACCGTCATTTCTTTTGAACTGACATCCTAAAACTTCTTTACTTCTCTAAATAGTCCTAAAAAAAATTATATTGGCAATTTTCTTTTGCAGTGAGTTTGTTCTAAAGATAATTAGACTCTTCTAAATGCAAAATATGTTGTAACATTAGGGGGAAACATTTTTTCTTCTGAACCAACATCTCAAAATGAGATCAAATTGATGATTTCCTTTATAAAGTATGTCGGTTATAAAGTTAATTAGGTTGGGAAAAGAAAGTAAAAATATAATAAATATATAAACATGTTCCCAAGGTTTCCTTTTTTGGTAAAAGTTCTTGATGTTTAAAATATAATTTATTTAAAAAAAAAATTTGTAAGTCAGAGTAATTTTCAAAATTAAATTTAAATACAATTAAATGTCTTGCATAAAAAAAGGTGTATAATTCCAATGTATTTGAACATACAGTCGTCTGGCAAAAGGTTTAATTATCACAAGTTATCAACTGTGATCAATTTTCTGTCATTTCAACAGACGAGACCCTGCCCTTCGTACTTGGTGACCAGTTTCCTTACATATTCTCCGGTTTTTTCGTCAAGTCCGAGGATGGGCAGCTCAGACTCGAACTGCGCTACCCCACCACAACCGATTACGTATCCGTTGAGCCTTGCTGCAACGTAGGACGTCTTGAGCAGGCTGCCCTTGCAGCTGATCGCCTCGCAGAGCCACGGGTGCTGCTGAAGTCTGTATTTCTGGTGGTAGCTGGTAAACAAAAAACCAAATTGGCATTTTTTACAGACTGTACACAAACTGTCATGAAATTTTAAATATTAAATGAGAAAATTTCAACCCTTATACAGTAACAAGACTTCAGAGTATTGTAACCCTTAATCTCAATTTTTTAAGTTCTCTTACTTAACCAGCTTGTAACAATTTATAAGGGTTTATTTCTTAATAAAATTAAACTTCCTCTGACTTAATTTTAAATTAAACAAAATAAAACAAATTGGGCCAAAAGTCATCATATTTTCAAAAAAATTAAGCCTTCAAAACACAATTGACTAAAAGCTCATGTTACAGGTTAATAAAGGAGTCAATGTCTAGTAGTAAATGTCTTTATGTTCTATGTTATTAGAAGATGATTACTGAGTTATATGATGATTTATGAAAGCAAGGAATCAAGGTGTAACACCTTAAACTACTGACATACAAAGAACATCAAAAAATCAAACTAGGCTCTATTAATTAATAAATAATCCTCAAATAGTCAAAATTATTTTAAAATTTTGAAAGTGCGTTGTCAAGTATCTACTGGGATCACATTGGCAGATCTGTCTGGAATGTTGTCATCAATTATAAAGCCTGAATAAGATGAAAAAAAGTGTGTATAAATAAAAACGATACCCAAGTAAAACCAAAGAAAAACCTCGGGTTTGATGTATGAATTCAAAACAAACAGCCAAAACTAGAGGCACGATAAGTCTGAAATGTGCCTAAACCAGGCCAACCCTTATTTTTGTACTGATCCTTTATAATAATTTTGTTTATTAATCGTTGCTTAGTGCTAGTTTTCCTTTATGTCCTGGTACAGTAAATAATTTTGGGCCATTTGTTTAAAGCATTGGCTTAATTTTTTAAAACTATTCATACTCTTGTCTGCAGAACAGGTTTGTATGGTTTGTTTAAAAATGGATTTAATTATACAAGTCCTGGGCTTATATATCTTCTACATATTTCTTGCCATGCAAGTTTTTCCACTTTTTTCTTGATGATCCAGAAGCTAAATCAGACGAATTTTGGTTATAATTTTATAACTAAACTATTATAAATATTTTCAAAGGGGATAGGTCTATAAAAAATAATAGTCCCATGCTTGCATATCATCTAGTTAGTGCTTTTTGAAACTTTTGATGCCAGCATTTGATGACATGAACACATTTGAATTTGTTCAAAAGTGAGTTTATTTATGCTTAATACAGTTTTCTAGGTTAAAAGATCTTCAACATGTTTCTTATTAGGAAGTTTTTCCACTTTTTTATTACCACTGATTTTATTATTCTATGGCAGCTCAGCCAGGAAAATATTTGCCCTATTATATCTAGTAAGTGTTGGTTTTTATCAAGTTAATGCTGTTTATCATCATCATCATCATCATCATCATCATCATCATCATCAATTAATTTAAGCCCTGGTGTCAAAATTAATATAATCTTTGTTTGTTTGTTTAAAACTCGGGATTAATTTAGGCTTAACATATGTGTGCATTTGACAACTTCTGGTCCAATTTCTCATAATTTGATTAAAAATGGATATATTTATGCTTAATGGATTGTTCTAGGCTAACTTATCTTCAGCATATTTCTTCTTTTTAATTATATCTGATTTTTTTATTCTCTGGCAACTGAGACTTCATCATTATTTTATAAATTGTTTCAAGCAGGCATGTTATAGGTTGGTGTTAGGATTTATCAATTTAATGCTATTTTCATTTCGTCAATGCCTTTATGTCATGGTATACAAATTAAAAATCACTCTGTCATTTTTTAAAAACTCTGGCTTGATTTTCTGGAATTATGAGTGTATGTGATGACTCCTGGTTCGATTTGTTACAATTTGTTCAAAAGTGATTTTATTTTTGCCTAATACAATTTTCCAGGCTAAAAAATCTTCAAAATGACTGTTATAAAGCAAGTTTTTCAAGTTTTTCTTTTCTTTTTTCAAGTTCTTTACGCTCTGCCAGTCAAATCAGAACAATTTTATGATTATTTTTAAACATACTTTTTTAAATTGTTGCAAGCTGGTTGGTTTTCTATCACGTTATTGTTATTTCCATCGACGTAAATTCTTTTATATCTTGGTACCGAAATTAAAATGACCATCTGTCAGTTGTTTAATCCCACTGCTTAATTTTCTGAACTATGAGTGCATTTGATAAATCATGGCCCACTTTGCTACAATTTATTTAAAACTGAATCTATTTATGCCTAATACAATGTTCTAGGCCAACATATCTTCAACGTTTCATATTTCCTCTTTTTCATTACCTCAGATTTTTTATATTCTCTGGCAGCTCAGTCAGAATTTTATAAATGAACCTTTATAAATTGTCCAAAATCTTGAATGTGCCAGTTTTGGTGTTCTAAATCCCGGTACCAAAATTAAAATGACCCTAGGTCATTTGTTTAAAACTCTGGCTTAATTGTCCAGAACTATGTGTCCATACGATCACTTACGATCCAGGTTGTTATTGTTTGTTTAAAAGTGGATTTACTTATGCCTAGTAAAATTAAGTTCGTCCAATTTTTCATTATAACATATTTTTTTATGCTCTGGCAGCCGACTCAAAATTTGATTATTATTTTATAAACAAACTTTTATAAATTGTCTCAAGCTCTCTTGAAACAACCTTAAACTGTAATTGGATCCAATTGTTTATGATTTGTTTTAAAAACATGGATCTATTGTTGCTCGTTGGCTGAGAAGTTTTTCTACTTCTTCATTACCATCATCTTTATAAAATTGAGCCTGATGGGCCTTCAGTAATTTTTTTATGGTGTCTCGGTTTATTTTGATAGGCCCATTTATGGCTTTGATGCCCGATTATCTTAGTTTGCTATTGTTCAAAACTTTTGATTTTTTTTTGTAGTGGTTCTTTAAATAGCAAATATGTTCAAGTTTTAGTTACCGTTGAGTTCTTTTCAAACGAGTTTATGAGTCTGAAGGACCTTTGGCCATTTGTTTAGAATTCTGGCTTCATTTTGATGTATTCTTACTCATAAAATGAATCCAAGGCTAAAATTTTCTTAAATGTTCTTGGCTTAGCAAGTTTTTCCAATTTTTCATTTTTAGTCATTTCTTTACGATCTGGAGGCTGAAACGATTTTATTTTATGATGCTCTATGCATAGATTTATGCTGATTGGATTGTTAAATATGAAGAAGATAATTTATAAAATGCCTTGCCTTTATAAAAAATTTGGCATAAGATAAAGGAAAATTTGTTCTATACCAAGAAAAAAAAGTTTAATTGCTAGATAAAATCTACATGAATTTGCAAGTTGTAATTAAAAAAGGCTTTGAGGCACATGGACCTTGGCATGAATTACCTCAGAAGGTACGCCCCCTTTCAAGGTGAACTTGGTTTAAATTGTAAAGGCTTAATCTTAAAGTCTTAAAACTTACTCTTCAGCGTCGTAGAACTTCGTCGCAGGCCGGATTACAGTGACGACAGGTTTTGAGTAGAGTTTCTGCTGTTGTTCGAGCGCTTTCTCGGCCAGTTCCTTCTGCTCTTGATCGTGGTAAAATATGAACGAAGTGTACTAAAAAAAAAAAAAAATTCTTCTTAACGGATTCTGCTTTTCCGAGGTTTAAGTTTTACCTGGAGTTTCGATTTCGCAGTCGGGTCGTGGTTCTGCCAGAAAATATCGAGTAGCGTCTCGTACTGGATCATCTTAGGGTCGTAGTCTATCTGTATGGCTTCTGTGTGATCACCGCTGGAAACGACGGTTTTCCCCCTTGATTTGAAAACGTTTTGGGTGCAATTAACGAACAAAATACTTACAGATTTCTGTAGGAGGGATTTTCTTTTGTGCCGCCCGAATAGCCGACTTTGGTCCTGATCACCCCAGGGGTGGCGCCGAAGAGGGCGTCCGGCGCCCAGAAACAAGCCATGGCGAATGTCGCGTTCTTCGTCGGGATGTCGACATGGTGCAGCGGTTTTGTCATGACCTTTAAAAAAAATCGCAAAATGAATAATAAAGTTCTCTCCAGCGCTTTATATACTTTGTCCTGTCGTCAGAAAATAGGAAAGCATTAGCTAGAAAACAAGTAAAAGTCGTTAAAACTAGATTAACTGTGCCTTTATCGACTTCTTTTAGTCGACATATCCACTTAATATTTTTTTTTATAAACGCATTTAATCAATGAATGTTTTTTTTAAATTTTGGGAAAATTTAACATCAATATCAATTAATTATTCTTTCCATGTAAGGTCTTGGCTGAGATAAAAAAGTCAATGTCAAGAGCAGGATTCGAACCCACGACCTTTGGCGAAATGCGCCGCTACTCTACTTGAACTATCATGACCGTTATGGTAGAGTAGCGGTGCATTTAGCCCGAGGTCGTGGGTTCGAATCTCGCTCGTGACACCACTTTTTTATCTCAACCAAGACCTTACATGGAAAGAATAATTAATTGAAAGAAGTAACTAAAACATAAATGGATTAATATCAATGTGCAAACGGATACGAGATATTCCGTTTTTATGAAAAGGAAAAAAATTAAAACTAAAATTTCAATAAGTATTAAATAACACCATAAATGTAATTTTATAGGCTTATACCTAAAGGCTATCTCCTTTTTAGATGACCAGCAGAATTTCTCTTGAACCAATGATATTATGAAAAAATACGTGTTTAATTAATTAATCTTTAAGTAAGGTATGGGTTGAGATAAAAAAGTCAGCGTCACGAGCGGGATTCGAACCCACGACCTTCGGCTAAATACGCCGCTGCTCAACCGCTTGAGCTATCGTGACTTCGATCCACTTGGACACCAACCTCCCATCTCTCACCTTTTGAATTTTTCCTCTTTTTACATGTTTAATATTTTTTAGTCTAGTTTCAATTTTTTACTTTTTTCTTTTGGAGAAACATTATACAGGGTACCTTAGACCCTGGTCCACTTCATAATTTCAAAAACGACCCAATACATGCTGACACGATCGTATTTCAAATTGGTCAAAAAATGAGAAAGTTATGGCAAAAAGTTCGAAAAAAAAACTGCAACCGTCATTCGGTTTGCTATTTACTAATCACATTTCATGTTCAAACAGCCTGCCTCGTGTAAAGATGTAAAGATTTGCTCTTTTTAACCACTCTTCACCAGTGGTCAGAGTATAGAGAGGGGAGATGGACTGACAAGCATTTTCTCTCCTTTGCCGCAGTTCTTCAGCTGAGGTTGCTGGATTATGATTGGCGTAGACACTGTTTTTTAAATGGCACCATAAAAAATAGTCAAATGAGTTAAATCGGGTGCCAGAGGAAGCCAACAGATCGGGCCGAGACCCTGTCCACCTATCCCGGAAGTGACGATTCAAATAACGTCTAACCTACAAAGAAATGTGCGCGGGGCATCCATCAAGCTGGAGAATCCTTCTTTGTCGAACATCATCTAATAGTGTGGATAAAAACTGAGCACCATTTAAATTATTTTCGTAGAAATGAGGCCAAATTAATTTATTATTAAGAAGTCCGCACCAAATGTTGATACTGTGAACCACCTGTTGATGACGAGAGTACGAAATTATCGGATTTTCCTCTGCACACGTTCGCACATTCTAATGGTTTAGTATGCCATTAGAGGTGAACTTGGATTCATCAGTCCATGGGATGTCTGGAAGAACGTTTTCTTCAGCCTACCAAATCAACGTTTGTGCAAGGAACGCCTGTCATAATCAGAGTCCCGAAGTCCCTGAACCAGATGAGAGCGATACCGCTTAAAATTGTAAGCCTGGAGTACGTCTTTACTTTTGTTTTTTTGAAAAACTTAAAACCTTTCGAACATTTCGGAGAGAGGAATTTGGATTTTCGCGAACATATAGTAAACTATTCAGCTCCTCGTCGAAATTGTGCTGCAGGTTTCTTGGTGATGGAACAGCGGCTGATCCTCATCTCCTCAAATTGCTATCAACATGAATAAACGTTTTGTGGTTTTGTGGTTTACTCTTCAGGCGATCAGGAAATTTCTGGTAGTACAACTCGATTGCACCACTATTAATATAGCAATATGTTCACTAATTTCGTGGTCCGCTTGACCAATTAATATATTACAATTAATTAAGGTTTTTAGTTGAGATAAAAAAGTCAATGGCGCAAGCGGGATTCGAACCCACGATCTTCGGCTTGATACGCTGCTACTCTACCACTTGAGCTATCGTGACCTCGATCCACTCGGACACTAACTTCCCATCTCAACCCCCACCACCCTTTGAATTTTCCCTCCTTTTTGCCATTTTTCAATCGAATCCCGCTCGTGCCATTGACTTTTTTATCTCAACTAAAAACCTTAATTGTAATATATTAATTGGTCAAGCGGACCACGAAATTAGTGAATTTAATGATTGAAAATGAAGTATACTTCACTAAAGCTCTCCGTGGCCATTTCATTTGTCGTCGAGAATCCAATCCGATTACACGACATTTGAAAACTAAAAACCTTAATTAATTGTAAAGTATTAATTGGTCAAGCGGACCACGACAATAGTGAAAGTAGTTATTAATTTTAAAATTGAAACATTCATAAATTACAACCAGATATTTAAAATAAATTGTATGAGAGGTTTTAATTTTAATTAATTAAGGTTAATGTCATTCTTGTTTTTCTCACTTATAACGACATAAAATTTAAATCCAGTTGATGTAGTCTGAACGAAGAGACTTCTTTTCTTCTGGTTTCTCTAGAGAGCTTTCTAAAGGTTGTCATATCGTTTAATTTAGATAAAATCAAGAAGAGTTATAAATTTGAAAATTCAAACACAACAGTATCGTAGGGACAAAACAACCCTCTGCTGATCCAGCTCAAAAATGTCCAGTTTTTATTTGAAATAAAAGTTTGTATTAAATTGCTTCAAATGATGCTTAAAACGAATCTGAATTGCTTCATAAACAAATTTTTTTGCCAACTTTCTTAAAAGCGTCTTTTGCTTTTTATAAGCTCAATGTGTTTTAGTTGGATCTTACATATTATTTGATTTTCACGGATAATAAAAATACAATAATATGTGATAACCTTGAATTGAAAGGTACAAACGATATAAAAGGTAGGGCCAAGGATGTTCCCTTGTGGGATGACATAGGCATGTATGAAATGAACATAAGATCAGACCTTACCTAATCATTCCGATCCATTTATGCAATTCAGAATAGAGAGAAAAAAGCACACAGACAACACAAAGATCGTATAAAACAAGAGAAACAAAGAGAGAGATAATAAGGTAGACAAATCAATTGAATGAGAGGGGTTGAGAGAGAACAGATAGCCCTGTCAATCGAATGAGACAAATAGAAAGTCAGACGGGCAGAAAAATAATAGCAGTTAAGAGGGAACATACCGTAAAAAAGAAGGTGTTAAGGGACAAAAGGGTAAAATAATTATTAAAGAATAGAAAATAACGAAGAGTAAAAGGATGACATTATCTGATGGTGGAGAGANGTGAGTTAAATAGAGTCATAACGTGCAGATAGACAGCAAAGAATAATGATCAAATACTCCAAACTTAAAGAATCAACCGTTTTCTGCAATTTCATTAATAAATAACATGAGATCTCATTTATTTATTATCTAAAAATTAAAATCATAAATGAAATCAGGTGGCCACAATCTTAATAAATCAAAAGCCTTCTTTTTAGTACATCTTAGTCATGTGGAAATTGGTCGGAAAATATCAACGATTTCTGATCTACTGGGGAAACGTTAAAAACCCGTGGGTCCGACCGAATACGGGGTCATTGCCAGGAGACGAGGACGAGGTCGAACCCATTAGCCAAATAAGATAAACTCTTTAAAGGGAAAGGTCGTTGATCGTAAATAATACAAGAGCACGTGATGATCATGATGATTATGATGCCGACACGGATCAATGGGCTGCGATGGATCTTAAGAAAACCCAAAAAAATGTCAGTGTCTAAATTTGGTGAATCGTTGAATTCATAGAGGAGGCCGTGGGTTTAAATTAAATATTTTACAAATCATTTCAATTGGCCCATTTATCCTGATTGGTTACATGCTTTCGAAAGTAGGATAGAAACTAAAAAAATTTCTTCGGAAACATGTTGAGAATAAGCTTTAAAACCGGCCAAGGGGTAATTTATATTTCAAACATTTCAATGATGCCCGCTCGGACCGTTTTCCAGTCCACCTATCTTGAGAGAGAGCGAGAGAGGAGAGAGAGAGAGAGAGAGAGAGAGAGTGTGTAAGCGAGCGAGTGAGTTTGGGAGTGTGAGAAAATAGAGAAAATGTGTAAGCGAGTAAGTGAGTTAATGAGTGAGAGAGTGAGTGAGTGAGTGAGTGAGTGAATGGGAGAGGGAGAGAGAGAGAGAGTGTGAGCGAGTGAGTGAATGAATGAGTGAGTGAGAGTGAAGCGATTGAGTGAGTTAGAGAGGGAGTAAAAGACCGAATGAGTGAGTAATTGATTGAATGAATGAATGAATGAGAGTGAAGCGAGTGAGTGAGTTAGAGAGGGAGTTAATGAGTGAGTGAATGAGAGAGAAATTGTGTGATTAAGTGATTGAGTTTGGGAGTGAGTGAATGAATGAGTGAGTGAAAGTGTGAGATAGAGAGAGTGAATGAGAAGAAGTAAGGGAGAAAGAGAAAAGAGAGAGAGAGAGAGAGAGAGAGAGAGAGAGAGAGAGAGAGAGAGAGAGAGAGAGTATGCGAATGAGTGAGCGAGTTAGGGAATGAGGTAGGGAATGAGGAGTGAGTGTGTGTGTGTGTGTGTGTGTGTGTGCTTGATAATTGATATAGATAGAGAGAGAATGAACGAATGCGGTAGTATTNTACTATTTGATTTCCGAATCGAAGAGAGAGACCAAAAACTGCTCTACAATCTGTAGAATCGGTGCAAAAAAACGAAAAATAGAAAAAGGCATGAGAACAAAGTCCGCCAGATAGACCACCAGGCTGACCGGCAGAAAGGCAGACAAATGTAAATACAAAATGAGCGAGGAGTGAGAAGAGACCAGAAAAGACCAACAGACAGAGAAACAGAGGGCTTGAAAGGGAGACTCCTACTAACGTAATGTCTGCCTGACACATTTGTAGACAAATAGCCAGACTGATAAAACGAGAGAAAGAGAAAAAACAAAATAAACTGTCTAGTAGAAGGAGATAAACAATCCGGCAATAAATGCAGACAATCCGGCAATAAATGCAGACAATCCGGCATAAAAAATGATAAGATACTGAGAATGAAAATATTTTTTTTTAAATTAGCGACAAAAAATTGTTTAACTTTTTTAACTTACAGTCCTGTCGACTGCATCCATAGGCTTGACAGCCTCGGAGATCCTCGTGAAAATCGCCCTCTGCATGTTGAAAAATCTCCGGCTAAGTTGACGAAGTGTCGGCTGTTGATCAGGCTGACTCGGCCGGCTGGGGACGACTGACGGACTGACCGGGTTCGGATGGCGTTAGCCTTATTTTCAGGACGTTCGTCGGCCGCCGGGTAGGGGAAGTCTCGACGATCAGCCCGATTGTCCTGGGGAATCGGCCGATTTTGTACTATTCACCGTTTTTGGATTAAACTTTCAGACGGTAGCTTTATAAATACATCGATCCAAAAATCCCGGCAGGAGTTATAATTTTTTTTTCAATTTTACCTTGAAATTTTCTGGACTGTGACATCCAGATTTTGCTCTCATCCCTTCGCTCAAACTTGTCCAAAAAGCAAAGATAGAAAACCATCAATAGTCTGGGAGTGATCTTAGAAAAAAACCTAAAAACAAATCGTTTTTATAAAGGAGGCCGTATGTTGAAATTTAATATTTTACAAATCATTTCAATATAAAAACTGGGAGGGTTCATAAATTGGCCCATTGACCCTGATTGGTTTCGATTACAAGCTTTTGAAAGTAAGATCGAAAGTAATATTTTATTTCTACCATTTTNACTCAGTCACTCCCTAACTCATTTTCTCTCTCCCCCTTCTATCGCTCTCACACTCTCTCTATTTTTCTCTACCATCACTTTCTCACTATATCTCACTCCCTCCCGAACTCATTCTCTCTCTCTCTATCTCTCTCTAGATTTTTAGAAAAACTATAATAAAACAATAAAATCTAGCAATAAAACTCTAAGACATATAACAAATACATTTAGGATGTGGAAAAGTGAATTTATACAATGCAAAATATATTTTTTATATTTAAAAAGTATTTCTAATGTAAACAATGTTTGTAAATCCCAGGCCCTGAAGATGATCTCAATAAAGATTGAAAAGTTGGCACGATAAAGAAAATGTTTTTCTGTAACCTACATCACCCCAGACCGCATCTCACGATTTCTGAATAATTATCGATTAACGGTCACTAATCATCACACATCATGTTAAATGTGTTACAACCAGCATAACAAGTACAAAACACTTTACAACACTAATATTTAATACTGTAAAATATAAAAAATGTTTTCTTATAACAAGTATGTATCTATATAATGATTTAGCAGATGAAATTAAGAAAGCTTTCAAAATAGAAAAAACGAAAAAACTTTATGTAAAATTACTATTAAAGAATGATTAATAATTGAATTTATTTTATCTCTTAATAGATTTATTACAGTTTTGTAATAAAGTGATGAAAATTTAATTTTATATAATTTTATGTTAGAAAATTTTGTAATTATATAATTTTTATTCTTTTTTGATATGTTACAGTTAAATGAATGTAAATTTTTTATTTAGTTATTATTACTGTTCTACATTCAGCTTAAATTTTCTATTTTTATTGTTTTGTTTTTATTATTATATTCATATGATTATCTTGAAGGGCATGTAGGTAAGTTCAAAAAGTAAAATGTTTGTTTCTCGTTGTGTGTAACAAAGGTCGAATTGACCTAAGTCTGCGAGGTTTGTAAAAATAAATCGTTTATTAAATCACATCAAATCAAATCTAATTTCTCTTTTCTTATTTTGTCTACATGTTTAATATTTTTCCCCCCGGAAATATGTTCAGTTTGGGCTTTCAAACCAGCCAAGTGTAATTTATATTAAAAATCATAATAAATATTAAAATGATGCAACTCGTAGAAAGAATTACAAGATTCTTAATTCTTCAGATCGTTTTGCTGCCCGTTTCTTGACCCAGTTAAATACTTGACCTTCCACGATAAAAACACATTGCAAGACGAGGATGAACGTTCCGTTGATAAGAATTGCATCAGACGTGGACCTTGACTTTTAAAATAAACGGAGAGAACACAAAGCCAAACCTATGCCGTATAATTAACATGCTTTTTATATGATAAAACACAATGCCGGTCCAAGAGTAATTAGCAAGGAAATTTCACACGCTAATAAATAAAATGGACAAGCAGCCGATATAAAAGACAATTATTTCGGCCATTTTCAATTAAACTACCCTGAATAATTTTGGGGAAATTCTTCTATAAGCACATTTATTTTAAGAAAATTTGGTTTTCAATCGATCAAAATTAATTATAAAAGAAAATATAGCCAGGATGGATATACATTTTGTAAATAAAATACATTTGGTAAATAAAATGCGAAAGTGCGTTAATAAGGAAGGATCTCTCTCGCACAATCTCTTATTTTCTCTACATGTTTAACCTTCTGTTTTTTCAGTCTATCTGTCTCTCAAGCCACTTACTTTCTTGGTTTATTTTTTTCTACTACTCTATATGCTTGTTTCTCTCTGTCTCTTTATGTATGTATTTTTCTACTAGTCTCTTTCGACCTCTATTCTATTTTTCTGCCTGAGTGTCTGCATGTTTCTCTCTTTACTTATTGACAATCAATCTGTTCCAAACCCTCTTAATTCTCTTTGATTTCTCTATCTCTACCTTTCTAGTTTCTTATTTGCTGTTTTTCTATATGCCTCTTTTATTTCTATTATTATCTTTCTCTCTCCTCTGTCTCTTTCCTTTATTTTGTCTACTTGTTTGTCTCTCTCTTTTTGCAGTTTATCTGTTCCTCAACCCACCTGATTACTTGGTTTATTTTTCTAGACGCTTTCTCTCTTTCTCTTTCATTTTTCTGCCTGACTGTCTGCATGTTTCTCTCTTTACATATTGACAATCCATCTGTTCCTAACCCTCCTAATTCTTCTCGATTTCTCTATCTGTACCTTTCTAGTTGCTTCTTTACTCTTTTTCTATACTCTCCTTTATTTCTTCTATTCTCTTTCTCTCTCCTCTGTCTCTTTCTCTTTCCCTTATTTTGTCTACTTGTTTGTCCCTCTCTTTGTGCAGTTTATCTGTCCCTCAACCGACCTTTATTTTTTCTTAATATGTATGCGTTTTACTACTAGTCTCTTTCTCCATTTCTTTTTCATTTTTCTGCCTGACTGTCTGCATGTTAATCTCTTTTCATTTTGACGATCTATGGGTTCCAAACCCTCTTAATTCTCCTTGATTTCTCTATCTCTATCTTTTTAGTTGCTTATTTAACCTTTTTCTATATGTCCCTTTTATTTCTAGTATTCTCTTTTTCTCACTCTCTCTCTCTCTCTCTCTCTCTCTCTCTCTCTCTCTCTTATTTTGTCTACATGTTTGTTCCACTCTGTTTGCAGCCTATTTGTCTCTCAACCCACATGATTTCTTGGTTTATTTTTCTCTACGATTTTAGTTCTTATTTCACTCTGTCTTTTTCTGTATGTATTTTTCTACTAGCCACTCTCTCTTTCTTTTTCGTTTTTTTCTGTTTGTACGCCTACATCTAGCTCTCTTTACTTATTGACAATCCATCTGTTTCTAGCCCTGGTGGTTCTCCTTGATTTCTCTTTTTCTACTTTGCTAATTGCTTATTTATTCTCTTTCTATATGTCCCTTTTATTTCTACTATATTTTTCTCTCTCCTCTCTCTTTCTCTTTCCATTATCTTGTCTGCTTGTTTGAGCCCTCTCTATCTGTCTCTTAACCCACCTGATTTCTTGCTTTATATTTCTCTACGACTTTAGCTGCTTGTTTCACTTGCCTGTTTCTGTACGTATTTTTCTACTAGCTTGACTCTCTCTCTCCTCTCTCTCTCACTCTCTCACTCACTCTTTCATTTTTCTGTCTGTGCCTGCATCTTTCTTTCTTTTCTTATGGACAATGTTCCTACCCCTCTTAATTCTCCTTGATTTCTCTATCTGTACAGTTCTAGTTGCTTAGTTAATTTTTTTTCTATATGTCTCTTTTATTTCTACTATTCTCTTTCTCTCACCCTTTCTCTCTCTCTCTTATTTTGTCATGTTTGTTCCACTCTGTTTGCACCCTATTTGTCTCTCAACCCACATGATTTCTTGGTTTATTTTTCTCTATGACTTTATCTCTTGTTCCACTATGTCTGTTTCTGTATGTATTTTTTTTACTAGCTTCTTTACTCTTTTTCTATATGTCTCTTTTATTTCTTCTATTCTCTTTCTCTCTCCTCTGTCTCTTTCTCTTTCCTTTATTTTGTCTACTTGTTTGTCCCTCTCTTTTTGGAGTTTATCCGTCCCTCAACCCACCTTTATGTATTCTTAACATGTATGTATTTTACTACTAGTCGCTTTCTCCATTTCTTTTTCATTTTTCTGCCTGTCTGTCTATATGTTTCTCTCTTTACATATTGACGATCAATCTGTTCTTAACCCTCTTAATTCTTCTTGATTTCTCTATCTGTATCTTTCTAGTTGCTTCTTTACTCTTTTTCTAAACGCCTCTTTTATTTGTACCAACCTATCTCTCTCTCTCTCTCTCTCTCTCTCTCTCTCTCTGTGTCTCTCTCTCTTTCTCTTATTTTGTTTACTTGTTTGTCCCCCTCTATTTGCAGTTTGTCTGTTTCCCATCCCACTTATTTTCTTGGTATATTTTTTTATCTACTACTTTCTCTACCAGTTCCACTTTGTCTTTTTCTATAAGTATTTTTGCTATCATTCTCTCCTCTCTCTCTTTCTCCCTCATTCTGTCTGCCTAGTTGCCTGCATGTTTCTCTCTATACATATCGATAACCTACCTGCCTCTCATTCTGTTATCTTTGCTTGCCTTTTTCGCTGTAACCTCTTCTATACTCGTTCCACTTTCTTACGTTGTTTATTTTTCCGTTGTCGTTTGCTTCTTTTTTTCCCACTAACTCTTGGCGGTCTTTCTTTTGCTGCCTGTTCGATTGTCCTGTCTTCTCTCTCTCTCTCTCTATTTAACTTAACCTTTCTGACTATATGCCTGGTTGCCTTTATAACCTGGTTCTGTCTTTTTTATTTTTTTATTGTCTGTCTATTTCTTTCTCTCTAGGTGCATGTATATAATTCTTATTTTCTGTCTAAAATTCTACAGTCATTCTAAGACAAATGTAAGGGTTGAATATTATTTTGGAAACCGATCTGGAAATACAACCCTGAAACTTTTGCATAGCAATTTCCATCTGAAAATATCGAATAAGGCAAAATTGAAACTTGTAGAAATATTTAGGTTTTTACCATGTTCCCGAGCTTCCTCGATGCATACGGCCGGTTGGACATTTTCGCCA